TGAAAATGGGTACCAAAGCATTTAAATCAGCTGACCAACACCCCTCCAGTTTGAAATGCTACAAGCATGATTAAAATACTGCAGCAGCACAGAACGTGTAGTTTTGTCATATCAGGAGCTAATCAATATTCTGTTTAGCTGGTCAGTTTCCTCACTGATGCTGCTGTTTTCAATCCCATTTAAAAAAAAAAAAAAAAAACAGCCAAGAGAACAATGGGACTTCTTACAAAAATCGCTGCCTTCCTACCACTTATCATTCCTTACGAAAATCACTCAAGTATTGGAGCTGCTCTGGTTTCTGAGCTTAGTGATGGACTTAGGACTTGTATGGTAGGAGATGTTCTGACGTTTAACGGTATGTTAAGTTATGCACAATATGGTATCATTTTATAAAGCTCTTGCCAAGAAAATTTGTCAAGGCACTGAATACATTAGAAAGGCTACGAGAACAAAGTGACCTAACAGACTAGCTTGGCAGTCAGCTTACTGTGAAACGCCTGGAGTTGAACCAGCGTACCAAGCACCTTGCTAGAAGAGGATATGGTCAAAAGGAACCTGGCAAGACTGAGTACTGAGAAGATGTGGGGGCTGGGGGTGTCAGTGTATTGAGGTGGGGGGACTGGGGACTGGGGCTGTGAACAATACGTTCTCTCCCAGAATTTCACTTATCTCTCAAAATTCCAGTTTTCCTCTCTCCAGCAGAGGATTAAGTTTATTTTGGAAATCCTTGTGAAGACTTGAACTAATCATAAGGGTCTAGATGCAAAAGCTGCCCCTCTCCGGACATAAGCACTCTTCTACTCTCACATCCCATCTCACAGGCAAACTTTGGAAAAGGGCTGCAGTGAAGCCCTGTGATTTTTAATCTCAAAGCTTGAGCTATGTGTTGGTGCCTGATGCCTAGCACAGAAGCTGCTAACACCTTCTACGCAGCTTCAAACACCTCTCTGTCTTTGCTGCCTTTTGAAATCCTTTTTTCTCTGCAGCTTCTTAAATCCCTCCTCGAGGCAATTCTTTCAACCAGCTTTCCAATGCTGATTTTACTGTTGTCTTTCCTCCTTGCTCTCCCAGACTGTAACTTACCAGGACAAAAACCACATCTAAGCTGCTTATACAAGTAACAAAGCAGAACTAACAAGATGTTCATATCTCCAAAAGGTAACTCTTAATTAGACCTCTGAAAATTTTTATGGAAAATCCACCATCCCCCTCCTTCCACAGAGGAAGCACCTCAGCTTCCTAAGATTTTCAGTTCCCCTTCATATCTCTTTTTGTCTGCCTCGAAAAATAAGTTATCCTCCAGTAAAGTGAGCAAAATGAGATAAAGCACTACCTTCTCATACTTAATTAAAAAAACCCCTCCAATCATACAGTTGTCCTCACTTCCATTTTATCATGGATGCAAATAATAATAAAATGCAGAGAAAAAGGAATAAAAAAAAAAGATTGAGGCCTATATAATTCTCTAGCTTTTATTCGGAGACGTGTTTTCAAGGGAATTCTTGCTTTTGTTTTCTTTCCCCATAATTCCTCAAGGAACTGTTTGATTAGACCTAATCATGATCAACTCCTTTCCACCCCTTCCCTTCTCCCCCCCATTACCCTTTTATCTCCTATCCAATCTTTTATGAAGTTCAACCCAAATAATGTATCTAATTTGGATTAGAAGCTCTTCTTTTTACAGTATTAGCAGTTTCTACTGTGTCAAACACGCATTGCTCAGTAATAGCTAAGTAATCCTGAGGCTTAGTTCATGGGATAGTAGTGCTAGTAAAAATACATCCTACTTTGCAAACAGGAGCTTCCTGAAGCCTGCACAGTGAGGTGGTGGGGTTTGGTCACATTTCAAGAGGTACCTGCATCAACCTTGAAGGACGCTTCAGTACTTTACAAGACTAATCTCTGACATGTCCTCAGCTGAAAGCAAAGCCTCCAGATAGGAGCCAGCTAGTTTGTGTGGCTCGCAATTAGCATTCTGCTGGTATCTCGCGAGACCCCAAATCCCATCCAACTGAATGGAAATGTAGGTCACACTGTGAATTCATTGAATAAGCAGAGCTCAAACTCCTGTGCTGAGGTCACTGATTACAAAATCCTAAGTTTATATTAAAAGAACCAAAAGAGACCAGATGAACAAATCCAAAACGGGCTTTGATAATAGTTTCCTGACCAAAAAACAAAAGCCCCACCAAAAAAAACCAATGGAACAGCTCAAGTCTTTTGAAGCATTTCTATTCAGCTCTGTATTTTTCACATCGATATCAGCATATACACTCTTCCGTTGTTTCACTCCTCCCTATATAGTGCTCGTTGAGATAACATTAAGTTGTATTTGCTTCAGCAAAAGTTTTAAGCTGTGCTGTAGGAAGAGAGTTTTACCCTGGTTTAGATCTCAAACTCTGAAAAAATTATAGTTGTTGTCCAAGTACTCACAAGTCTAGTAAAATTTTGTATAAAATAAAGAATAAATAAAAATAACAGGTAAAGGCAAAGAGCTCAGCAGAAATTCTGAATGATGATGCACAACATACAGCAGTGTGCACAAAAAAATGCTTTTTGAAATTTAAGGACTAAGAGAGCTACAAAAGCTTGGGGAGTTATGCTGCACCAGGAGAAGCATGGGAACTGGCCACACATACACTCTAGACCTCCCTTAGCTAAGAAATAAAACCTGTAAGCAGGGAGCCTGACCTACCCCCTCAGTTTAGGTGAGCTGTGGGGTAACTGACAACCACCCGCAACCTGTTTGGGAGGATACCCCAAATCCTATCTGCTTCTCCCCCACCAAGGCATAGCTCCTCTCCGCAGTAGTGGAGAGCATTCCCAATTCCACCTCCTCTGAAGGATCTGTTCCGAGGGTCAAGACATCCTACACAAGCACTTCCAGAGCAAAGGTGTGTACCAAAGCTTGTACCATGCAGGTTAAGCCTGAGGCTGTGTGTATTACCTGTGTGGCCCACATGGTCTGACACTGGAACATCAAAATACCTACAAACGTTCCTAAA